CCAAGAGAGAATGATAAGGGAGATTCCTACATTATCTATTTTGGGTTGATACAGTATAATTAGGAAAATGAAAGGTGTGTTCTGTATTAAATGACAAGAACAGAGCTTGTGAAATAGAATATACTGTGTTTGGGGTATGAGGTTGATGTGCTGACTAGAATGTAACAGAATAATATTCATGGGCCTTAGTCACCTAGGATGTTTGGCTTGGAAGTATAAAGAAAGGATGGCATTTACTGAGACACGTTTTGTCCCAGGCACTATGATTGAAAGGTTTTCTTTTGATTCTCACAACTGTCCCATGAGGAAGTTGCCAGCATCCCTAATTTTATAAATAAGGAATCAGATTTTCCTTATCCAATGTAGTAACAGACTGAGCATGGAAAACCTATGTTTGTCCTCATCTAAAAGTCATGTTTCCCACTCCTCTCTAGTCACATTCCCCTTTTTTATTTTATTACATTTTAAGTTCTGGGGTACATGTGCAGAACGTGCAGGTTTGTTACACAGATATACACATGCCATGGTGGTTTGCTGCATCCATACCCCCGTCATCGACTTTATGTATTTCTCCTAATGTTATCCCTCCCCAATCCTCCCACCCCCTGCTATCCCTCCCCTAGTCCTCCCATCCCCACGACAGGCCACAGAGTGTGATGTTCCCCTCCTTGTGTCCATGTGTTCTCATTGTTCAACACCCACTTATGAGTGAGAACATGCCACACCCCTTCTTAATAGTGGAGAAGGAATAAAGTATCATTAACTGCATGTAGTAGGATCCAGACTCATACATGGGACACCAGACAGGAGAAGCTGCTTGAGCTGGAGAAGTCACAACTGAACAAAGGGACCACCCCTGCAGCAACCCTAACTGCCTATCAACTACAGGGCTCCCCAGGTTGTGTATCAATCCTGACTGCCACACAAATGGGAAGAGGTTTCTGGGGACCATGAGTGTAGCCAGTCACCCTATCAATCCTATCCCAAAGCCCAACAATCTCGACTGAACAAAAAGGCTTGAATCCCAGATCTGCAAACTATGAGAAGGATTTTTTTTCTACCTACTGTTTAATTTTTTCTTCATCATGACCAACTTACGTTTTCATTCTCTGAGACATACAATACAGAATATTTTATAAAATGCGTGTACTCACAGAGAATGCCTAATACTTAAAAGTGCTAGCATTTTTTAGCTGAGCAATATCTAATTTCATGTAGTGCAAATGAAGTTGGCTTGTAATAGCTGTAATACACACATCTGTGCCATGCTTTGTATTGCATCTAACAAGATTATAAGGCACAGATCATCCTTAAAAGAGAATTTAATGTTACCAGTAAAGAAAAAGAAGTCTTTGTGGTTTTGTGTTTTTGTATTTGTTTATGCGATTTTGTATTTCCTAAAAAAACAAAAAGGCAGACAAAAACAAGCCAAAATAGAAAAAAAAAAAAAAAAAAAGCCAAAATATCCAAATTACTTCGGTTAAAACAAAGATGAAATATTTAAAGCCTATCTTATATCTATCATACTGAATATTATAGAATCATTAAACCATTCTGATACTGCCAAGGAAAGTTTTAAGACATTAGGAAACTCTAATAATAAAATATTGCATGAAAAAGGCAAGACAAAATGAAAAATACAGAGTAAACCAATTTTTGTTTTTATATATACACACACACACACACTCAAAAGAGAAATGATAATAGTTTGACCAAAATGATAAGAATTCGATGGATTATCTATTTGATGAGATTATAGTTCATTTTTTACACTTTTATTTCCCAAATATTCTCCAATGAGTAGATATTGCTTTTATAGTGGGAGAGGGAGATCATATTTTGAAAGCATACCTGCTCACCAGTAAAATTGTATATGGAGGACATGTTCTTCCCATCATAAATATAAACCTGTGAAGGAAAATCAGAAGTATATGAAATCTAGTTAAACAGAAGATAACTTAGAGATTTTTTAAAAATACCATTAACTTTCTTACCATTCCCAAAGTCCTTGCTGCTCTTGGAACTCCTGAAACAAAGTCTGAAACAAACAAACAAACAAATTATGCATTTTTAGGACCAACAGTGGAAATTGCAAAAAAGAAGTGACTATGTCAGCAAGCTCTAAGTTTTACTACTTCAGTTCAAAACAAACAATCGATTTAGAAAAATTGGTACTCCATAGCAAAGAGCCCTACCATTTTAAAACTATAAAATCAAAATTTACAAAATACAAATTCCCGAGGGCTTTCAAACATAATGCAAATAAGCCCTTGAGTCATCTGTAATACTGCTAAACAAGAATAGACAAGATAAAGTAACCTAAGAATGAAGAAAAGCTAAGTGTACAGTAATGAAAAATAATACAGAGCAAACTGAAGTGGGCAGAAGTGGCTGTGGCACAGAAATGTGATCAAAATCAGGTAAAGACTATGATTCCTAAATGGAGCTCTGAAGGAAGATGGATAGACAATGAGAGGATGGGATACTAACTGTACAGAGATAACCCAGAAGGTAACAAAGGATGCCTAAAGAAGGAAGAAAATAAGTCTCTCCCAGAGGAATGAATTTGCTGAAGGCAAGGAGGAAGGCACTAAAGAAATCACTAACAGTGTAGGGGGCTAAAAAGACACAGAAAGGAAAGGCACTGAAGCCAAGTGCAGGTGTCTCAATTTCACCAGCCACTAGAGGAAGCTGAGCATAGACCTAGCCTGAACTCTTGCCGGTGTGCTAGAATCTCCCTCATTTCTTCTGTTATATTCCATAACAATGGTTTAAAATTATTTAAAATATTCTTTTTTTATTTTTGAGACAGGGTCTCAGCTGTGTTGCCCAGGCTGGAGTGCAGTGGCGTGATCGCAGCTCACTGCGGCCACAATCTCCCCCAGGGTCTGGCGATCCTCCCACCTCAGCCTCCTGAATAGCTGGGACACTGGTGTGCATCACCACGCCCAGCTAAATTTTTGTATTTTTTCTAGAGGCAGGGTTTTACCAAGGAGTCCAGACTGTTCTAGAACTCCAGGGATCAAGGGATCCCCCCGCTTCAGTCTCCTAAAGTGCTGAGATTACAGGCTTGAGCCACAGTACTCAGCCACTCAAACTGCTTAAAATTTTCAATGCCACATGTTTCAAATGCTTAATCTAATTTTTTTAAAGATTAGATATAGTTCAAGTGCATCATACCATCTATGCCATCACCATTGAAATCTCCGACAGCCACAGAGTAACCTGAACAGGAAACCAAAAGGGAGAACCATCAGGGCAAGGAAGTTACCTTCAGCAGATCTGCTGAATAAGTGTTCCTTGAAAATATTTTCAAGAAACTCCTTTAATTACATAATATTTTGTCCCCTAGTCATAGCAGACTCATACATAAGTGAATTTTAAAAGAAACAACTGAGTTAAATATTCAAATAGGCTGTTTTAATTAGAAAACTAAAATTGTCTTATTAACTTTACAAAGGAGTCTGTTAAAAACCACAAATTTACAACTTATCAAAAAGGAGCAATAAATTCTCTCAATCAGCAAGTACTATTTCTGTCATATATGACTTGTTTTAATATATAAGAAAGGAATTTAAAGAGAGAACACATGTTAATAAGTCCTAAAGACTAAAACTTTTATTTAGCATCATGAATTTAAAAAACTTCAGGAGTTAGACTGCCTCCATTTGAATCTCAGAACAGCAAGTTACAAGTGAGTGACTTTGGGCAAGTTATTTTGCCTCTCAGTGCCTTGGTGTTTTCACCTACAAAATGAGAATCATGCAGTATGCTTGACTTGTGAAGATTAAATGGGTGAATACACACCAAGTCACCTTAAGCAATACCCAGAACACAGAAAGCATATCTTAAAGGCTAGCTATTATTATTATCACTGCACAAATAATCACTCTCATCAATTGCAATTACTGAAATGTAACATAACCGAAGTACTCAAAAATAATTTGAAATTGTACATTCTTTATGTTTTAAAAAATCCTATTTTGCATAAAATATTTTTCTACTTAAAAGATCATATGCAGATATAGGACAAATACACCACAATTCCAAAAGTAAGTAAATTTTGGTTTTACCTACCCAAATAACTGTCATCAAAAATAGCTTGTGCAGTCCGAGTTGCTAATTGGTTATTATACTTGATGCTGTAAACGTTGGGGTCATATTTAGATATGATTTCTGCCACTTGATCCGAAATAAGCTGACCTAAAAAAATTATGTATATATGTATAATAAGTAACCTTCCAATGGGAATTTTATTATGCAGATAATATATGGTACCTGCATGAAAGAAAATATTCAATATTAATACTTCTAATTATTAGCCTTACATAACTCTCCTTGATCATACTAAATTTGAAAATGGATATTCTTAACTTAAAGTTATTTCTGTTTAAGCCAGTACTTAAAGAAATCAGTCTCTACTAATAAAAATTTAAGAAAACAGGATTTGTCTTAAATCACTAGATAGCAATATTAAATACATAGAATAATAAAATGAAAGGCTATCACCCAACCAATCCATTAAAACATGAAAAATTTACTGAAACAATTAAATACTGTTACCTTTATAATCAGAATAATTGGTTCAATTGATATTTTTTAACTAGTAATGTAAATATCTTTAGGAAACAACCTGAATGGATGAGTTCACTCTCATTCACAACCTTGTTATTAGGCAGACAAGAAATCTGGATGACTACACAAAAATCAGCTCGCACTCCAGGCCAAGAAAGGTTAGCTGGTTTATCAAATGTCGTCTCCACAATATGGATAAAATAATGTCTTATTATTTCTTCTGTTTTAGAAAGAAATGTGTAACAGCTAACATGTTCAGTCCCGTTCCCATTTGTTCAGTCACAGAGACTGAATCTACAGGGCAGAAACACTTTCTCTGTCTGGGTCACTATCTTATCCTCTAGGCTTAAACAGTACCAAGAAAATATGAAATTCAATAAATATTTCTTGTATGAAAGAACAGAGGAAAATTCATTATTTCTTCAGAATAAAACATTATTCTTCTCTCCATTCTAACAACAATTCTGAAATCTGTGGAAAAATTCATTCTAATGTACTTATCCTGGGTGACATCTGCTGATTTTAATCTTATTAAAACAAAATACTATCTGCCATTTTACTGAGTCTTTTAGCTATATGTTACAGACCACTAAAAATAAAATTCTAATATATTTAATATTAATAGTACCTCTCTGTCCTAATTTGGAATAAATAGGAATGTCCATATTCCTATTAGTATTATTCCTATATATGTAATACCCAAGGTATTAAAAGTTTATATGTTCACAGTGTATCTCTTAAAAAGACAGAGTTAACAAGTACTCCTAACTGAGAATCACTAAATTTAGCTTCCTTGACAATTTTGGTTCCCAGGCATCCGCACTGCTCATCAGATAATTCCTTCCCCTCCACTGAATGACATAATCAGCAATAAAGAAGAAAAACAAATCGATATTTCTATATCTAACTAGAAAGTATTCATATCGCCCATTTTCTCATATGTACTTTAAATCTGCTTTTTTTGTTTTAAAACAGTAAAACTCAATTATAATTTTTCTGAATCATTTTATTTCCCAATAGATGCATAATCCACAAATATTCCGATTTTTCAGTTTTACTATGTCTCACATTCTGATCCCTGTCTGTGATGCCTGAATTCTAAATTTTCTTTTTTCATTCCCTCCTTTGCCTTCCAACTTTTCACTTATTCCTATTTTTCATTCCTTCTTATTCTCCTTCCATTCCATTATCCTCCAGCAAATCTCTTTCTTTAGCTTCCCACTCTACAAGGCAAAAGCAAGCATGGGTTTTTCTACAAAGAAGCAAGTTAGGAAAGCATATTATAGAATACAAGTGTAAAACTTGTATTATTATATTATATTATAGAATTTTCAAGTGTAAAACTTGAAAATTTCAAATCAATATACTCAAAGGTTTTCCAATTCTTCCAAACACTGACAATGCTTAAATATCAGAATGCTAATACACAATAGTTTGCCTCATAAATGGCGCTTTTTAGCAGAAACTAAACATGTCAATATATGAGATAAATAATTGTATATCTCTAATGATAAATGAAACATAAGGAAAGCAAAGTTTTAGTTTTCTATTTTGAAACTTTTAGCAATAATCTGTTGTACATTTGTTCAAATGGTAATTTAATTAGGCCTCCCAGAATGACTGAAGAATAATATAATAATGTATCTTTATATCAATGCCAGTTTAATTATATTTTTAAAAAATTTATTTTTGAGACAGTGTCGCTCTATTGCCCAGATTGGAGTAGAGTGATATGATCTCAGCTCACTACAACTTCCTCCTCCTGGGTTCATGCAATTCTCCTGCCTCAGCCTCCCAAGTAGCTGGGATTACAGGCTCACACCACCATGCCCAGCTACTTTTTGTATTTTTAGTAGAGATGGGGTTTCACCATGTTGGCCAGGCTGGTCTTTAACTCCTGACCTCAGGTGATCTGCCTACCTCAGCCTCCCAAAGTGCTGAGATTACAGGTTTGGGCCACCATGCCTGTTTTTTTTTGGGGGGGGTAGAGACAGGGTCTCACTTTGCTGCTGCCTAAGCTGGTTGTGAACTCCTGGCTTCAAGCGAGCCTCCTGCCTCAGCTTCCCAGCTTCCCAAAGTGCAGGCATAAGCTACTTCACCCAAGCCAAGATATTCAGTTTTTAAGAAGTCCCCAAACACTTAAAAGAGATCATTCTCAATATCAGTAATTAATTTTAAAAAATCACGAGGTCAAGAGATCGAGACCATCCTGGTCAACACGGTGAAACCCCGTCTCTACTAAAACCACAAAAAATTAGCTGGGCATGGTGGCGCATGCCTGTAATCCCAGCTACTCAGGAGGCTGAGGCAGGAGAATTGCCTGAACCCAGGAGGCGGAGGTTGCGGTGAGCCGAGATCGCGCCATTGCACTCCAGCCTGGGTAACAAGAGTTAAACTCTGTCTAACAAAAAAAAAAAAAAAAAATCACTTAAATATCCTACTGAGCAACTTCAAAAGACTTTCAAAGCCTTTTAGAATGCCACAGTTTGCCTATATAGATGAGTCTGGCACACTGCCTAATGATTGTGTCATGGCCCCTAGAGTACAGACATGTAGAAGTACGTATCACACACAATAAAAATAAATTTAAATTACTTTATATATTTACTTTTAAAATACATTTAACATAAAAGTATGTATTAACTTTTAAAATATTCAGTTTCTATTTTCTTCTAGGAATATACACATATTTAATATATATTAGATGTAATATCATTTTTTAAAACACTGTGTAAAATGGAGTGTTTATATGCTTTAATTGTATTTCCATTTCTTTCTTTAAAATAATTTGTAAAATGTCATAGGCATACAGTAAGCCAGGTGAATCAGTGACACATAGTCACTAATTGTAATTTAAAAAATATTAACCTACCTTGCCAATAAAAGCTACCAGGACCACCAAGAAGTACTCTGTCAGCCTAGATGAAATCACACACACAAAAAAGATACATATTTAAGAACAAGTACCTTTCAAAATAAAAATCAATGTAAAACATAAGATATATATGTATACGTATATATGACTGAACAATACAGTATTGTTTCTTTATCATTACCAGGTTAATTACATTTTTAAAATTTAATATGATACCTTTTTTTTTCTTTTTTGGAGAGACAAGGTCTTCCCTCACTCAGGCTGGTCTCTAACTCCTGGCTTTAAGCAATTTTCCCAGCTCAGCCTCACAAAGTGCTGGATTTATGTCTAGTGTAATCTAATCTAATCTAATCTAATCTAATCTAATCTAAAGCAAACAAAATCATAAATCTCATTCATCTAACTCAGCTTCAGTGGTTTTCACTGTGTCTTTTCTAAAATAAAATTTAAAAGAAAACTTATATTCATTCAATATGTGAAAATATAAAACTTTTTTGTGGATCTTGGCTGCTTCACATATTTGAAATGAGGTATTAATGCAAAGTATTATCAGGTTACAATTTTTAAAAGTCACTTCTTAATTTTGTATATTAAATTTGTGACTATATACAGCAAACTGTCTTTATATAATCATTGAAAAATTTTCTGCCATTTTTACTGTCTCAGATCTAAACAAGAGTGAAGTTAACAATAAAATTTTCAGGGTGTATTATACATATACAAATTCTGCTTGCCTAGTATTTCTTATATTTAACTAACTCAAAGTGTCTAACACAAGCTACATTGTGTTTGAGCACAATATTTTAGAAATCTCTTCTTGCTGGGGGGAAAAGAAATTTTTTTTTTCCTCCAAATGTACATATAGCCCTTCCAAACTTTCAATAGACAATCTTTTGCCTTGACTACGTAAAAGACACTTCTAAGTTACCTGCCCCAAAAAGATACCCTTTTCTCAGAAATGTGTTTAAGAAATTGAACACCTAATTTAGCAATGACTTTCACAGTATGACAGTACTACTGGGGTTACAGCTGTATAGGCTTAAATACAGAAAAGATGGACATTATATATGTTAAAAATATATAATATCTATTTAGAAATGTATCATACAAGCTTAAACATGATATTTATCAATATACTTTCTCTCTCTTTGTTTGGCTTACTTGCAGTCTAAATTTTGGGTAATATAGTATGAATTTAGAGTATTAAAAACAAATTACCTAAGGAGGTTAACTGTAATAATCAGTACCTAGGTCTAGAAAAAAAAATTAATAAAATAAAAGTACAGATAAAATATAATTTTTAAAAAAAATTCAAATCCCAGCACTTTGGGAGGCTGAAGCAGGTGGATCACGAGGTCAAGGGATCGAGACCATCCTGGCCAACATGGTGAAACCCCATCTCTACTAAAAATACAAAAAAATTAGCTGGGCGTGGTGGCACGTGCCTGTAGTCCCAGCTACTCAGGAGGCTGAGGCAGGAGAATTGCTTGAACCCGGGAGGCGGAGGGTGCAGTGAGCCGAGGTCACACCACAGCACTCCAGCCTGGCGCCTGGTGACAGAGTGAGACTCTGTCTCAAAAAAAAAAAAAGAAAAAAATTCAGACTGGGTCTTGCTCTGTTGCCCAGGCTGGAATGCAGTGGCATGAATATGGCTCAGTGCAGCCTCACTTACTGCAGTTCAAGCAATCCTCATGCCTCAGCCTCCCTAACAGTTGGGACTACAAGCACATATCACCAAGCCTGGCTAATTTTTAATTCTTTGTAGAGATGATGTCCCACTATGTTGCTCAAGCTGGTCTCCTGGGCTCAAGTGATCCCCCTGCCTCTGCCTCCTAAAGTGCTGGGACTATCGGCATGAGCCACTGCAACCCAGCCTACAAATTTCTTAAAAATAAGAAAATGCTTTACTAGTGCTTCTGCATCATAAAATTTCAATTTCAGTTGTTTTCATACATTTAAGGCATTCTTCTTTGCTCACATTTCTAAGAAGGCCTACACACAAGTTTTCTAAGGAAGGTCTCCATATAATCAATCAATATATTTTTTAGACTTCCCTAGAAGGAATATTCTCAATTTGATACTCAAATATGCATACTTCCCCCCACCAAAATAAACAAACACAGAAAAGAAAATAAAGTACTTCAGAAAATTTACCTTTGAAAATTCAAATGGAATTCTTATTTTCAAAAAACAGATTAAAAAATACAACTCTGAAGAGAATATTAATTTAGTAAAAAATACATAGAGCGCTGCCTGTGAGATTTCTTACAATTATTACACACTGTCAGCTTCACTTAGTGCTTACAGGCACATAATAGATGGCAAATATCCATGTTTCTCAGCTTTTATGTAACTCTAATTTTGTAATAAATCTCCCATTGATAGCTTTTGTAAGAAAAACAATTTCAATTAAAAATATAAAACTTTAATATGCTATAAATTCATATAACTGGAAATTTTAATATTAAGTCATAATAGTTACCTATCATTTACTGAGGAGATTGTCTACTTTCCTCCATTCCCAGAGTGATGGGGGATGTCTCCCTATTTCAAATAAGCAATGTTTACTAGGGAGGGAATAATATAAGACAAAGAATGTCAAAATAAATGGATCGTTTTATTAACTGTTTTCATTAAAGAGGTAACAGCTGTAAAGGAGCTGAGGTATTGGCCAGTTTATTTTTAACCACAGTTTAATCAGTAAGGTAGATCTGAATCTCATTCAGTCTTAAATGAGAACTTACTTTAGTAAAATCAATGCTGAATCCTCCTTGACAAAATCCCTGTCCATCAGCATCAATATCTTCTAAAATAAAAAGATTGGAAATATACAAAAACCCAAAAACAAATAACACAAAACAAAACATGAGAAAACCTGATATCACTAGAATCACAAGATAATGTGCCAGTTTCTGAGAGTGGTCATTCACTCGGGCACTTGGTTATCACATTCCAAGAAAGTTAGTATGCATGTTTATCAGCACCATTTACTCAGCTATGGAAACACAGATTAAATACCTGGACCAGTCAGCAGAGAACAACAACAACAACAACAACAACAAAAACAACTAAAATGATACATTTCATTTTTTGACCACAATCCACAAAAAGATTATAGTTTATATGACAACCCAACATATACTGTGTGTATAAAACATATAGATACAACTTAAAATCTCATGAAACAATATTTTTATTATTACATAGAATACACTCTAATATCTTCCATTTTATTTCATTCTATTGTGACCCACTACACTGATCTCATAAAACACTAACAAGTTGTGATCTGCAAGTTAAAAATTCCAATCTGAAATTCCTCTTTCTTCCTATTACACTAAGGTTGCTAGTTCCTTGCAAAGACCTTTGTTATTATGAATAGCAGCAAAGAGATACATACATTCCTAAAGTATGCATTTCTTATACATACATTTTATAGCCAACAGTAAAGATGAATAACATAGCTCAGAATTTCAGGAAATGGACAGACCAGAACTTAATGTTCTTCAAAAAGTAAAATATAAAACTATCTTTACACATTTAGTATGGAGATCTAATTAAAGTAACCATCTTTAAGGCCCTTTCAAGTATTTTCCAACCACAGTAGGCTCAATAGTTTTGCTCTTTTATAGTTGTTCCCTTTTAAGTAGTTCTCACAGAAAGGGGCTAATTCTGAACAATTAGACAATTAATTTAAATTAATTTTAATCACGAGCAATATGGTACTTAGAACACATGTAAGGATGAATCTGAACACTTCCCCCTTATTTTACTTTGAGGATAACAGAGAACAATGGAAAACAGTATCCTTCAGTTATCAAAGACTTATTGTGGCCAATGTTACAAACACATAAAAAGTTGTACTGTTACTGTATTTGC